TATATACAGTATACTGTATTTATATAAATGATACTAACCCGTTCCAGAATGATGTGCGACATGGTGGCGTTGGCGTCCACTATGATGGTGGCCGTCTTGTCATCTCGAATCTCTTTCAGGAGCGGGGTGGGGTCCTGGCTGTCATCAAGCATGCGTACCGACAGAGTCTCTTTGGAGATGAGGAACTGTCTGAGGAGCTGCTCCAGGTTCAACAAGCCTGTTGGGAAAACACAGAAACATGTAGAAGATGGACTTGTCATGAAGACAAGATGCTCGTAATTAAAYCAGGCTCTTTAAGTTTGACTTAAATGCGACCGGAGGGTAAATTGCAGTGAATTTGTTATGGTTTTGCCTTTTTTTTTCTTGTTTCTCATACTGTTCTCTGGKTTGTCTCTGTCTCAGCTTGTCTCCAGGTGTGATGTCTCGACTTCTCCAGACTCCATCAGACATCGTCCTGATTGGACGTTCTAACTCATCATTCCAGCAGTTTGMAGCACATAGTCCTATCTTACCAGGAACTCATCATCATGTTGGTAACTYCTAGTTTACTCTGATTTTACTTTTTAATTGTCCTTCATGTTTTCTCAATACATTCATCTCACCTGCTCCAGCGTTACTTTACCTTTAACAGCATTTTTTGAGTTGAGTCGTTAATCTTCTGTCTTCATTGTTCTGCAATAAACTTTATTGAACTTTCATTGTCAGTGTCTGCATTAGGGTGTCAATCCTCACAGACTGTCTGTCTAACATGGCATGGAAAAGTTTTTTTAAATACATGTGGAATTTTAAACATTTGCAGTATTTTTCTGCAGCTTTAAACAGGAATAAATCTACATTSAATTATTTTAAAGCTCTAAAACACAAAGGCACGTGTGAAGAAGTTGCTGTGCCTCAGGGTAATAGGCCGCTCGGCTCCAGTGAGGTAAGTGGGATTTGGCCTAATTAGAGCTTAGCTGACTTAATCACAACAATCCTGGCAGCATTTAAACACGTCACTTTGTATTCATATATGAGCAAATCCTGAGAGGTTATGGGCTAACCTTCCACACAGGAATATAAACTCATTTGTGCCACAAGGAGGAAAATATAACCTGAAACCGCCTGAGGTCAGTTTTATAACAAAGTTTACTCTTTTCTTTTTTGACACTGAAGTTTATCCATTTGCTGGTTATCTGTGTGAAGTGAGTCAAACAGGTGGAAGTTTAATTCAAATGAAGCTGTTCAATAAAGTATTAAATGTATTTAAATGTAAAATGTAACTCGGTGTTTGCACAGAGAAGACATGTCTCAGAATAACATACATGACAAAAACCACTTGTGTTTAATTTGTTTAAACTGACTTAAAATTCTGCTTTATTATTGAAGCACMAATAAAACAATTTACCAGAACAGTTCATTAAATCTCTGCAGGTATGTCGAYGCRACGAGACATGAATTTTAATAACTCGTCAGCTTCTCATTTAAAAAGTGTCGCTTCAAACTGCAGTTGTATTAAACACGTCACTCCACTGAGTTTCCATTCATTAAATCATCTAACAACACCAGGCTGCTTTCAACATTTTCCTGTTGTGTTTTTGTAAACTATGAAAGTTGTGATCACAGCATAAGGTGTGTGTCCAACAGCACTGCTGGGTTTGATGTAATAACATAATATTTAGGTAAAACATTGAGGAAGGACATCATTTTGTGAAAAAATGACTCACATTAGCAGAGCTCCCACCTTCCTATTTCATTTAATAACAACAAAAAAACAGTGATTGTTCCATCAACAGAGATGTGTCGTGACTTTTGCCTCACTGACAGTCAAGTAATTCATCTGGAACATGGAGAYCACTTTTCTTCAGCTTATTTCAACTTATCAAACTCAGTCCTTCATTTGTTCTGCAGCTCATTACAAGCTGCTGCTGCTTCCAGTCACCAACATGAAGCTTCTATAATTATGTTTCTGTGTCTGGATGTCTTATGGCCTGTCTGTAGATCTGTACATCAGTGGACATGTTTGCCTTCACATATCAGGCTAAATGTGTCTGAGCTCTTCTTTAGACATCAGYTCTTGTTGCTGCAGGTTCGCCTGCCTCTGTCTCCAACCTGCMAGTTCAGCTTTCTCCCAAGTTTTACACAAAATCACTCAGATGAGCCAGAAACAGCTTCTTCTGCAGCAAATTTTCTTTTTGTTTCCTGAATCCACTCTCCTCTGTGTCTTGCAGGCCATCAAATACAATTTCACATTGAGCTAGTGATGTTAGAAGGTACACTACTGCAGATACTGTGCTGTAAACAGCAAACATAATCTTAAAGACAAACAAAAAAGTCCATCTTTTTTAGTGTTTTACAGCAGCTTTATAGATACTTTCGCTTTTCTATGGAGAAACAAAATAWTATGCACGCATTTGAATGAAAAGCTAGCAATTCAGTGCAGACAGTTTGGTTGTAATAAGGTTTTTATGTCACACAATTTTTACAACATTTTGCCCCCTTTTGCAAAACAACAAAAATCTTCCTGAAGAATTGAACAATTTTCAGTCAAATAACATTTTTTTTCCAGCTGAAACCTCATAAATCTAAAGCCAGTTATAGACACTGACACAACATACGATCATATTTCGCCCCAGCTTGGTTCATTCGCTGCAAGAATGACATTTATGTCAGTGTTTTATCTTGTTTAGGTTGGGATAATTCATTCCACCTATATYCCAGCACATTAAATCTCTCAGGACATTAATTCATTCTGAATGCTACTGTCAGATGAGACACTAATTTAAATAGAGGCCATAGAACATTTTTTTTATTTCTATTGTCAATTTTAAAGCCCGAATAGAACTGGTTGTTTAAAACATCAATCCTGCTTTAGTCCTAAATGAGAAGACAATGTGATTCTCCACTGTGCATCCCTTTCAAGGCCTTTTTAGACATGTTGTATGCAACACTATCACTTTGGTCAACTTGTGTTAGTTTTAAGATTTATTTAAAAAGCCTTGTGAATGTGATGGAGGGCAATTTTTATTGTCTTTATTTAATTCTAAACTTTGTCACATTTTCAGGCAATATGGGAAAACATTGCTTGACACAACATGAACTGCTTGCGCAGAAAAGAGAAGCTGTCCAGTGTCATTAATCCATTACAGCTACAACAAAGCACATCCATCCAAAGCATCGGGGCAGGAGTTGACTTAGACTCTAGAATTTCAACTCAGATTTGATGAAGAGCTGTGGGTGGCTGATTAAAATGTTTAATCCCGAGGATGTAAAATATCAAGAATGGTTTTCAAAAAGAACACGCTGGCGTGCGTTAGTCTGACCAAACYTCCTCATCGGAATGGATGCAACTTGACTTTAGCAGACATAAAGATGAGAGCTTATATTCAACAGAGCCAATTTACCTTTCACATGCTGTCAGAATAAGACATCTGCACACAGATCTCCACCCTACATCTCCAAAGTAAGCATMGCTGCAACACAGAAGCACCGGATGTGTAAAAGATAAGTAAAAAAAATACTGAATAGACCACAGGTGCTGAATTCTTTGACAGGTGCTGATGAATAATATATAATAAACCTCGAATCACAGCTGACGTGTTAACAAAGATCCAAGAGCCTCTTTGACAGCTGTGAATCACCGTGTAGCCTTGGGCAGTAAAGACCTTGTTTTATGACTTTGCAGCCACTTGGGCCGTCATTTCAAAGTGCTGCAGACAAGGTGACACGTCAGGAAAAAAATCCATGTCAGGACATCAGAGCACAGTCTTCTTCTCCATTAGGCAACATAACCATAAACTACCTTTCAATCTTTCAAACATGCATCTGATCTGAAATGCTCCTGTTCTGATGGCAAATCAATTTATTTCAATTTTGCATCTTTTTGAATGCGACTTCATTTGGGGAAAGGTTTATGAGCCTGTTGACAATTTATAACAATAAATAAGTTGAAATTCAAATTAAAACTGAATATGTCATAAATAAAAATTAGACTGATGAATTTGTTTATTAGATTGACTAATGACTTGTAAATCACTCTGTGACTTGTAGCAACTTTGTAACCAAATATATTAATGCTTTTGTATCATATTGATTTCCTAGGTTTTTTGTTAAACTAAGATTAGTCAAAAAGAAAAAAAAAAACAAGTAGGTCCTCTGGATGGGTTCTTCTTTAGCGAAACGTTTCGTCTCTCCTCCAAGAGACTTCTTCAGTCAGATGAGTTTCAGGTAAACTCAGCTTTAAAAGCACTGCCTCCACCTGGTGGACAAAGAGGTTAGTCACATGCAAAAGAGGGCCATCGCTTAACAATAGGCTTGATTAGGGGACGTTGAGCCCCGCCTGCATTCACTACATATACATGACACGGCATCTAAGAACCACAGCATCCAAACCAATAAGTCAGGTGATGGGGCACATGACCCTCTATGAACAATAGAGCTAATCAAGCCTATTGTTAAGCGATGGCCCTCTTTTGCATATGACTAACCTCTTTGTCCACCATGTGGAGGCAGTGCTTATAAGGCTGAGTTCACCTGAAACTCATCAGACTGAAGAAGTCTCTTGGAGGAGAGACGAAACGTTTCGTTTCACTAAAGAAGAACCCATCCAGAGGACCTACTTATTTTTTTCTTTTTGATTTTTTTCTACCTGGATTACTGAGATGCATCAGAACATAAGATTAATTAGAATCATATTGATGCATAATGTGTTGGTTAGTTGGTGAGATGATGTGCAATCGAGCTGACTTGCTGCGCTGCAAAGTGATTTCCAGCATGTGAAAAAATAACTGTTCTTTGTATTGTAAAGAAATTGCATGTCTAATACAAAAGTGAGTCACCATATGTGTGAACAACCCATACGAGTGTTAACACATGTAGAGACACTTGTTCTTGTCATGGTCTGAGTTTATTTTGCTTTATTTATCCTAGTGTTTCAGTGTTCATTTGTGTTCCTCTGCACAGATGTGCCACCTCTGCACACCTGATTGCCCTTGTGTTCCTCCCAGATGTTTCTGGTTTGCCCTCATTAGTTTACCTTTATATTCAGTGTCCTGTCTTCAGTCCTTTGTCTGATCACTGTACTGTGTTGTCAGTCTGTTCGGTCCCTAAGAGAGTTTTGAAGTCCTAAGCTACGCCACGTGAATGTAAGTCTTTTGAGCTGCTTGTCAGCCTCTTTTTGTCATTAAAAACCTTTTTTTGTGTACTTTGAGTGTATCTGTGCCCTGGGTTACCTTTTTAGTCTGGATTGTGTCAGTTCTTTACTGTTTTAAAAGAAAACAAACATTTTTTTAGAGAAACCGAACACAGGGAACCTCTTTTGACAACCAGTTTAACAACTAGTTTAGAGTCTAATCAAAGTTCACTATCATGTTTGTGTTTTCCTTCTGCGCCATAATTCTATTGGATGTGTATTTTAGCATAATGCCCATAATGGTCTTTCACATTTGATTCTGTTGATAAACTGACTGAAAATGTTCAGCGCTTAAAGCTGAAAATGCCATAATTAAGACTGTTAGATCACCCAGTCTTTTATAATAAAACTACATTGTGTGAAAATGAAAAGACAAGAGGAACTTGAAATATTATTTTGTGAGCAGACATAAAGTGTGCAAACATCACCAATTAGTCTTTTCTATTGACAAAGAAAGACAAACAAAGCAACTCAGTCAACTTCCATTCTGATGCCAAAATCTTTTCTTTTTTAATTCCCAAAACCATAAATACTGTATACAGAACATGTGGAGCCTCCCAGCAGACTTGAAGACTCAGACAGAGACAGTAATCTAAGCACGAGTTACCGTCCAGCAGCTGCCACTGAGCTCCCTGCCATCAATAGAAGTGTGTGTGTGTGGGGCAGATAGAATAATGTTCATCCTTGTTTGCCCCACTTGATTCCTCAGTCATTACTGGGAACTATTAATGAATTAAAAACACGTTGTTAGGCTGTCACTGACTGCAGTGATTAAYGAGGCTGCCACATGTGGAAGAGTCACTGACCGACAACATGATGCCAACAGGCGAACTGACTGTGAGCGCTGAAGGAGGAGGCGGGGCGGCTGGAACAGGAGCCAAACTCAGATGGGTTTTAGCTCAACCCACACACACACAGCTCCAAACACAAACACACACGTACAAAGTCAGGCAGACTGCCATTTGCTTCATTTTCCTCTGAATGGATGAGGGTCACAGGAGAGAGGGATCGATACAGTCGTGTCATTTCCTGGACCGTCTCCTGCTTGTTGCTGAYGTATAACTCCAGCACGGTTACCCCCGCCACCCCCCCACCTCCATTTCCTGAACCGAGTCATTTCATGTCACCCACATGCACCCAAAGACATCCTCTCCTCTTTCATTTCCGACTTCCTTCGGTGTCCTCTATCAACCTCTAATCTTTCCTCATTTTACTGCTTTTCATTTMATTTTCTTCCCGGTCCACTCCCAGCCCACTGCCACAGAAGAAAGCTCCTCACCAACACACTGGTTTTCCTATCTTCATGGGGACTTTGCATTGACTTCCATTCATTTTCTGGTCATTTCAACAGCCCAACCCTTACCCTTTACCCTAAACCCTAACCACCCCAGTACATACCTGACCTTAAATCTAACTTAAACTCAATCCACACCTTGGTTCTAAATTGAATCCCCCCACCCAAAATCAGTATCTGTACGTGTGGGGACCAGGCTTTGGTCCTCAYGGAAGATGCAGCTAAAATGTGTCCACACACACAGACAGAGAGAATAATGCATGTAATGTTAACATCAGAGTTAGCAAAAGRTCCAAATCAACTTCAAAGAACTATTTTCATAGTGATCAACACAAGTTTTTTCTAATAAATTGTAAGTGAAGGGATTTTGTTTTTGAGACACACAAATGATCACTTTTTAACTGCAAAAAAACCCCAAATAGATTAAATTTTTTTTTGCTGGCACTTACCTTATCTACAGCTTCTTGTTTTGACATTTTATGGAGCTCTGTGTAGTTAATTAAGCAGAGTGTTACACAAGTTTCATGTTAACTCCCACTCCTAATTACGTTTCTTGAGGAATATTAATCTGTCTACATTTCCTCAAGATCTTTCTACATTGTATGCACTGTTCCTTTGAAAATATAAAAAGCTACAAACCTTTTTTTATTTATCAGAATAGATTTTACAGGCAGGAGGAGTGAGTATGGACATAGGCAGGTGTATGTGTGTGTTTCAGAGAGGCTCATGTCCACCTCTGGGCTGTCTGACACACAGCTGAAATCTCAAACCTCTTTTCTTTTCTTCCAACTCTTGTGCTGATTTACAAAAGGTGAGCTGGCACCTCAGGGTCACAGAGTCTTTGTCTGGGGACTTGTAATTACTCTGTGCTGGACTTYAGGAGGGTGGGAAGAAGCTGTGATTTTAATCTTCCCCTCTGTTGACAAAAATAACTTCCATTAAAAAGATTTCCAAGTTTTTTTAAGGTCCTTCTGTTAGAATCTAATGAGTACCTCTGACAAGAAGGTGGTCAGACCTCTGGTGGTTCCAGCCACACTGTCAGTCTCTTCAGTTTGCCTTAAACATTTATTTTTAGTGCTTTGAGGCTGCACACAGTCCTACAGATATTACACTGAGAGGAGGTTAAAAATAGATTTACATGACACAGCATAAATATACTGCTCATAGTTTCAATGGTGACAACGATGCTATAAACARGAAATGATTCARYGGTAAACAGTAAAACGTGATTTATTTTAAGTGCTGCTACGAGGGAGTTGTAGCTGTGGAGTGCAGCAGCAGCTTCAGAMGAGARCACGTCGCGGGGTGAGATGTTGATAAGAGCTGGGTTTGTTGTCAGATCACAGTCAGCGTGCGCGCAGGCAGCTTGTGCGTGTGAACACGTGTGAAGGAACAGCAGACATTAAACAGAAACTGTTTGCACGTTGTCGGCAGGCGCAGGAGAAGCAGCGTGCGAGCAGCCTGACCAGGTGTGCACCATGATGTGTTCTGTCAGAAAGGTGTGAAAGTTTTACTCACAGTCGGCCTGGGCGCAGATGAGGCAGGCGGTGGTGCTGTTAAAGAAGGTGAGAAGGCCGGCCACGGCCAGGCTGATGTCGGTGTTAGTCGGTCTTAGGTCCAGAGTGGTGAAGCGTGGGAACTGAACCTTCAGAATATCCTCTGGAGCCACTTTGACATACGGTACCTGCACACAGAAGCTGATGTAAATCTGCTGCTTTTACCAGACACACAGATTTGGGGGCCACAAAAGCTTGTGTAAACTCCAAGTTTGATCCTTTAAAACCCCCTTGTGTTCCACCAAGCAACAAGTAAAAATAAAACAAAAATACTGTTTTTTTCCTCTGGTATTAAACTGGTGACATTAGGTAAAATCATTGCAAACAGCTAAATACCAAATGGATGTTACAGGTAGTGCCTAAATGGAAACTGTAATTAGAGGACATCATTATTTATTGTTGATGTGTGTGTCTGTGCATGTGTTTGTGCTTATCAGGAGCTGATGAAACTTCCAATAGATTAACTATTGAAGTCAACACAATTCAAGATGATCAAGGCCATTAAGCAATCTTAGCAAACCCAAAATTGGTTATAATTTTAGAGACATTGAAGTATGATCTGGTGTTCTAGTAGCTGCAGTGAAAAAGAATATCAAGATATGCAATTACCCATTAGAGTGGGACTGTGTTTGTCTGCAAAATATCTCATAAACCACTGGATAGATTTTAATGAAACTCAGAGAAATAAATTATTAGATAGACATCTACAAATTAACAACTTCTGAAAATAATCCTTAGGAAGCACAAAAATGTTTACAACTCTGCCAGTCTCCAGAAAATGAGCTAACATTTAGTGTGTAAGAGCTGAGACCCATTCACAACACATCTTCAGCTTGAAATATCACAATATTGCACACCATTGAGCATAATGTCATTTACTGATCAATGTTCAACCGACATTACTAAAACCCTGTATTTACTCGACAAAACAACTCTGGCATGAAATAAGGTCAGTGCTATGCAATCCTCCAAGACGTGCTAGCTCTTTAAATTTGCAATGTGTGTGTTGGAGTCTGCGTGTGTTTTTATTTGTGTGAGACATAAAATCCTATTTGTGTCACGGAACACATACTTTTCACATAATCCCATGGAAATGCAGCAGAGTGTGACTAACAGTTTGAGCAAATCCCAAATTTAGAATTTGAATATTTAGACAGATAGATAGATAGATAGATAGATAGATCATGTCAAAATTAAAATGATGTAGTGGTATTGTTTATTTTGTGTACCAAACTTGTTTAGATGGGTTGTAAAAGTAATGAATAAAGTTGATATAATCCCTTTGGATCAAGTATTAAAATCTGTTTTTGCTTCAAACATCACTGAAGCTCTTTCTTATTAAAAAAGAAAATTTTAATGGACTGTAACAAGAACCAAATCAGCATGAAAAAGTGTTTAAGATTTCAGACACACAAACATCACAATTGACTATTTTAGAAGCATATAGTTAATGAACACATTTATTGATTTTGCTTTGAAAGAAGACCAAAGATCAGACAGTGAGTAGACAGCAGGCAAGCCCTCATTAAAATTCAATAAAGTTATCGTTCTTTCATCCAAGCCCCACTAGGATGAGTACAATCTTCTGTCAGATTAAATGTGGTGTTTTCAAATTGTTTATGTGTTTTAGYTGTTTCTCTAATGAAATTCTCACAGAACTCCCAGTGTCCTAACAGGTATGTTCACCTGATTAATCTCTGCTGAGAAAAAGAGGTTAAGTACACTCCAGTTCACCTTTCAGCCTTCAGCATTCCCTGAACACAACAACAAAGCTCGAGGAGGCTACCCACAACTGAACTGTAGACTGGTTTTAAATTACAATCCACCCAAATGCAAACCCTCCTCTCATCTATCCCCTTCCTATAAAACCCATGGCTGATCCAGTTCTCCACAGAATAAGAAGGGAGACATGCTGACAGGGCTTTTAGCAGAATGTTGGAGCAAATGGAAGCAGAAGAAGAAGAGTGGGCAACAACAGGGTAGCAAGTGTCRTGTCAGTCAGCAGAGACAGTACTGCAGCTGAACGCAGCAGGGACTGATGRGGATGTAGGAGAGCATGCTGGGTCTGAGAGCAGATGCAAGGAAGGAAACCTCTTCATCATGGCCGATTGCCTGTCTCTATGGTTTCCAGCACCCATATATTGTGTTACCCCCCACGCCTATATGCCTTCAATTGGTCTTCAGTCCCTGCCCATCAGGGAGTGATGGAGTCTCTGRGTGTCGGGATGGATGGAGGAGCAGCCAGCACTGACGGCCATTAGTTTTTCTTGAGAAGCCCTAAAATCTTGGTAATWACTACACACCTCACAAGGGAAATGAACCCCAACTCTGGTTTGTCCTTATCTTCCTGGTTGCACTTCTCATTTCTTTCACTTAATACCAAACATTGTTTTTTTTTTCTCTCTTTTTCAGTTTATTCTTTCATTTTCCACACTGCAGGTTGTTGCTGTGTGCCTCTGTCACCGAGGAAACCTTCATTAGGTTTTATCTGAGCTGGTGACGACTTAGGAATCTGCTCATGCAAACACACCCACATTCACTTAAATACACAAATAGGTATAGGTATATACTTAGTCATTGTCTAATAAAGTGGCCCTGAGGCCTCTACAGCAAAGAAAAAAAGATGCATTGAGTTAACTTATTTCCAAATCAAACAGAAAARCATCCAAGTGAAGTAACCAGAATTAACAGTCATTAAAAGTCATTCTTATTGGTCTCTTTCAAGACTTATTATCCACAATAGACAGGTGAATTCAAGCAATAAAAAATTAAAAGTTAATATAATAAACAACACAAACAAAAAAGCATTCCCTTTATCAAAGCAGGTAAGTCTTTTTTTCACTTTTCAGTAAAGCTCTGTGCATGAACACTGCAATGGAGAGTAAAGATTGTGACAAACAAGGATATCTTGTGATTTATGACTTAAATACCCATTCAGCACACAAAATACTACATGTTATTGCTTATTATTCAGGATCCCCATGTATTTTATCACATTTTTCAAAAATGTACGGGAGATTAATATACAAGTCATACGTTTTGCTTTGGGATACAAAGCAAAGTCACATAAAATACATAAGACCCTTTCCCTGCTTCACTTTTATTAACCTCAAATTAGTTTGGTTGTTTTTGTGCCTCCCGGTGTGTAGTTTCTATCAATATTTGTCACATTTTTTTAATAATTAACTACACATTATTCATAGTAAAAGCTGCTAAAACATTTACTGATGTTATTTAAACCTATTTAAAAGGCACGTACGATTCCTCACAGCAATGTAAACAACTTGTTATTCCTACTGTTGTAAACAAGCTGTGCATTAAAATGAGACGACCTGCTTTCTTTTTAAAAGCTTCCGCTCAAGGCTTTGACAGTAATGGTGTGAAACTAATTAGGCTGAAAAACTGAGTGTAAAACAAAAAAAGAAAAAGAATCGTTTTGCAACAACAAAGCCAAGGGTAAATGCTCCACTTTGGAATCATTTGGTAAATATAATTTAATGCCACAGTGAGTGCTGTGAAGGACAGGTGTGTGTCAGGTGGGTGAGAAGAGAGAAAATCTCACAGAGGAATAAAAAAAAACAGAAAATATAAGGACAATGAAGGAGAAATGGACAGTCAGACTAAAAGAGGAAGAGGGGAGGAGAGACTGAGACTAAGGAAAAAACATAAAAGACAAAAAAATAACAAATGGTGAATTGAATATAAACATAGATGAATATAAACAAAAATTATGAATTTTAAAGAAAGCAATTGATTTCTGTTACCATGGCCAATCTTTAGCATCTTTGTTTCAAGCAATGCATAGTGATTGCAATTGTGTTCTCATTCAGGAGTTGCAGCCCACATAGACCACACCCTATGTGGGCGTAGGCTGTGTAGGCTGCATAAACAGCTGTACAATGAGACATTCTAGTCTTTGGATGATGTATATTTGCATGACCAAGCACTGCCCCGTTACCATGTTTTATATCACATGCCTTCATTTGGAACATGAATTCATCTTTCCACGTGACGTACAACTTTACAAAATTTAGTAATAGTAAAAAAGTTACATTTAAATAATTTAAAAAAATATTGATAATTTGTATTTAACTTCCAGTTTTACTTTTACTTAACATCTCATTGCCGCAAGAATGTAATTGTTTAAGTTGCTAAGTATACATTTATAGCCAAATTATTTGTCCCACGATAAATTTCCAAACTAAGCCTTAAAAAATTCTGCTGTATATAAGTAAATTAATTCCACCACCTTTGTTTTTCTGTTTGGTTTGCTGAATGTGCAATGAATCCTGGGATATCGTCGGCTACTTAGGCAACTCGGTTGCAACCTACGTTTTCGGGATTTTGTCGGCCGCATAAGTAAGCGCCATTAAATTGCGACAGCTTACATCATTGGGTAGTGATGTAAGCAGCTTCAAAATCGTACAATTTTTTTGAGGATTTGTGTTGTCTGATGTCTTTTATCATGTCGCCCTTGTGTGTTCCCTTAGTGTCATTACAACACATTCTCATCAGTTCTGGTTCCTGCTGTTTATTCATCAYACCTGTCACTTGTTGTAATCAGCATTCCCTTCAGCTGTTGTTCATATCCTCATTTCCTCTGTTAGTAGATATTCTGGTTCAGTACTCCAGATCCTCGCTGGTTCATTGCTTGATGTTCTCATCATCTGTTGTGGTTATCTCCATTGTCTCTGTGTTGATTTCTTAAAGTTTTGTTGGTTGCTGCCTTGTCAGCATTTTGTTTTATTTTTATAATAAACATTTTTGAAAAACTTACATTCTCTGTCCGGATTTGGGTTCATTCTCCTAGTTAAACTGAACAATTTTATGACAGCAAGAAATACCTGGCTTTGGAGTCTGGTAGAAAATCTAAGAATTGTTGAACTTGAACACATAAAAAAAGAGAAAAAAAAGTATGAGTAAAAATTTGGACCTCAGAAGCTTTTGCAAATATTCCAGCAGTGACTGCCAGCAATTCTTCAGCTGTCAGAGCTATTTTCTTAAAAAGTTTTTTTCATAAAACAGAAMCTGGTCAAATATTCTGCTCACTCTGACTTGGATGTGTGGAATTGTGCAATCCAGTTATGTGTGTGTGAGTGTGTGTGTGTGTGTTTGCATGTGTGTGTTT